TAATTAGTTTTAATTTGGTATTAATATCGGATTAGATTAGCATATACCCTATTCACCCCCCTCTAGGGTAATTTCAGTACGTGTTAAACATTATCCATTTCTGTTTAATATCTAGTAATTGTTAATCATATCATGTACCGATTTAATATATTCAGTACATGTGGAATATGGGTTCGTGGAGAGGATGAATTTGTTTCCCATTTCTAAACTTTATTTTATTTGTTAAATTTTGACTTTGTTGTCCATTTCTAATGTACTTATCAAAGAAGTCCAAATGAATATATCCAAGTTTCTTTTATGATTTATATCAAACTGTTCTCATGCATTGTCCATTCAAGTGATTGTTGCCGTCAAAAAATTTAACGACGTCTATGTTGCCTCTGCCACTGAGGACATGTACTTCAAGTCCAGATGATAGTTGAATGCAAGGTTAGCAGTCACATGAGATAGTTAACATGTAATGTATATACTTAAGAGGAACATACCAAGCTAGCAGTTACATGAGATAGTTAACGTATGTTGTGTATAGTTGACAGGAGCATACCAAGGTTAGTAGTTACATGAGATAGTTAGCATGTATTATGTAGTTGACAGGAACAGACCAAGGTTAGCAGTTTCATGAGATAGTTGACATGTATTCTCTATAATTAACAGGAATAGACAAAGGTTAGCAATTACCTAAGATTGATAACATGTATGTAGTATAGTTATAGGAACCAACCAATGTTACTTGAGATGGTTAATATGTATTGTATTTTCTCAATAGCAACATGAACAATAATGAGATAGGTAACTAGTAAATTATCATTCAAATGAATCAACTAAAACTAAATATTTACATAAATATTACATAAAAAGACTAATGTTTAACTTGAGTTATTTCCACCAATAATAAAAGCCATCTAAGTATCCTAAGCATTGTTCCTCTAATTATTTTTGTGCCATAATCAAAATCACCAAGTTGAAATGCTTGCTCAAACCTCTCTCTCTCTTAGGTTTCAAAGATTGTTTACTCTCTCACCTCCCTCTCATCCAAAGAGTAGACTTCTTCGACAACATCCCTTCTGGTGTCATCCCTGACTAAATCTTCCTCCTCAACCTCAGTGTTCTCAACTTCTTCTCTCCTCCTCTTCTCCCTCACAAGACCCACCAACTCTATAACCCCCAGAAATATGTAATCCTTTCTAAACCCCCATCATCATCATCCATTATCATCAAAACCAAACTCAACTCCTCCAATATTAAACCGCCCTCGTCGACAACCTCATCTCTCCCATTTTCTACATCTATCTATTACTCCCCCCTTCCCGTCTATGACCTCATCTCTCCCATTTTCTACATCTATCCTTTACTCCCCCTTCCTGTCTACGACCTCAGTTCTCCCGCTTTCTA